TTACACACAGCCAGATACATAAAAAACTATAGCAAGATCTTTACATATAGCCAGATACATAAAAAACTATAGCAAGATCTTTACATACAGCCAGATACATAAAAAACTATAGGAAGATCTTTACATATAGCCAGATACATAAAAAACTATAGCAAGATCTTTACATATAGCCAGATACATAAAAAACTATAGCAAGATCTTTACACACAGCCAGATACATAAAAAACTATAGCAAGATCTTTACACACAGCCAGATACATAAAAAACTATAGCAAGATCTTTACACACAGCCAGATACATAAAAAACTATAGCAAGATCTTTACACACAGCCAGATACATAAAAAACTATAGCAAGATCTTTACACACAGCCAGATACATAAAAAACTATAGCAAGATCTTTACACACAGCCAGATACATAAAAAACTACAGCAAGTGTTTATATAACAAACTATAAGTGTTTATTACATGATTAGATTTACTTTTCCAAAACTTGAGCTGAAAAACTAAGAATGTATAGTGTAAATGAGTTATGCAGTCATTAATTTATTAAGTTATTAATCCAAGCTGAATAGTGCTGTTTAATCTTATTGTTGATGGTATCAGTGTGTTGTGATCTAATTTTTAAAATTCAATACTATTTGACTTAATTACAAAATGAAGTATATTTTTACCTGGTTTCTTAGAAACTCTTGTGGTAAACTCCAATAATGATAAATATCAACTGGAGTTCCTTGCCTTATGTTCTCCCCAATTCTGAACTCGTTGTTGGCCGAGTTGTATTGAATGGCCCCTGCATTAGGTTGATAGTGATGACTAACATCTATATAGCTATCATCAGGTTCTTTTTTCAGAGCAACCACATTCACTTCTCTTTGCAGTGGTATCTAATAAAAGAGAAATAACTTTTCTTGAAATGTCAGAAACAAATATTTCATAAATGTAGTATTAACATTTTTACTTGTTGGAACAATTACAATAAAATACAAAATGGAATTTTCACAAATATGAAGGATACTTCTTCCTCAAAGTTTCATTTAGAGAAGAACAAAGTTATCATATGACAGAAATATCACTTAATTCTCAGACTTCAGGTGGAACCTTACCTCAGTTGCACGAAGATTGCTACTGTAACAGGTGTCTGCAACTCCAAAACAGAAACACTGTAAGCAGTCAGATGGTTTTTGTGCATCATCATTAAACTTTGGAGGGGTGCAAATGTCATGTTGTGCTACAGATTAAGTAGAAACAGCATAACAAGGTCAAGAATTATTATAACAAAACTGTATCAACACACCACTATTAAACCTATTATATTTTTTAATACTAGATTCTTTATTCAGTTCCTTGTGGTTTTTGCTACAACAAATTGGTCATATAAATTATGTTCAACCAAAACAGTGTTGTCTTCCAGCTGGGGTGATGAGACCAGTAATGAGCAAAATGTACCATCAGCAACAGATAGAGCAGACACAGCATTGGTTGAAATACTATTTTTTATTATTATTCTCCATGAAACACCCTAATGGACTGAAAAAAAAGGAGGTAGTATTAAAAAATATAATAGGCCTAATAGTGATCTCTTAAGTATAAAGAAAAACACTTTAGTTGTACTGTGCAAAGAAGCATCGAACAATTTCGTATTGCTTACAACTAATACATAAAAAATATCGATATGGATTGAACGAGAAGACCAATGAGCAAATCTAACTGTTTTATAATAAATTTGAAGTAACTAAACGGTAGAAGTCTACATCTAAAAATTTGGTTTTGCTGAAGTTATCATAGAACTTTACATATAACTAACTGCATATGGGTGTCAGTGCATTTTACTGTGAAGTAAATTGCTTTTTTTTGTGTTTTTTTTTTTTTATATACATACGTGAGTGAATATTTATTCTTTTTTTAAAGTTATTATGTGTATCGTATTCTAATGGTTCAAAGGCTGTCTTCCATCCTTCTTATTTTATAGTGGTAAAGAAAGAAATTTAAGCACTGTTTAATTTTTTTTTTTTAACTCTCTCACTACAGGCTTGATAGATTCAACTGAGTTTGTGACTCCAAATTGATCTTTAGACTTTCCATACTACAATGTCTAATACGTTTCTTGTATCTTTACAAGTTTTCAATAAACAAGTCTTTTGTATACAACAAAAAATCAGAATTTCTAATGAAGTATTTTTACTGAAAATTTCTATGTGAATATATGGAGTCTAAAACATTGACTGCTTTGAGTGCAAAATAATTTCATGTTAAGATTAAAAATACTTTTACTTTTCTCCATCTGAAAATTATATAATTTAATTTGCATAATCTCTAGAAACTCCTAAATAACCAATATTTACTTGTGTATTTTACTAATGAATTGTAGAGAAACAAGAAAAATGAGGTAACATACTACTGTAACATCCTACTCTGGTTATTTGTCTCAAACTGTGAAGTTGCTAAAGCATATTCTGAGTTGTGTAATAGATAACAATCCTAGAGGTTGTGCCAACAAGTACTAACCCCAGTATAATATATAAGAAAATAATTTAATTCTAATTTGAAAGCAAAAATACCTATAAAAATAACCTACATTTAACAACTAGAATGCTATCAGGAACAGCCAGAACATTTCCTTTGCTGTTAATGGCTTCACAGCTCCAGGCACCCTGGTCACTCTTCTGTACATTTTTTATGGTTAGGATTCCATGTCCATTCTCACTACTAGTGGTTACTCTTGGAGGTGGAGGGATGTGACCCCAGTTAAGTCGCCAATTTATCAATGGTGTAGGTGTGCCAATAGCAGTACAAGTAATGGTTACAGTGTCTCCTTCTGCCACATTAACAGACTCAGATGGTGGTTTAGTAATTGTTGGAGTAGCTAAAAAAATTAGAGGTACATAATATTTATAAAACTCAAAAATCATACTTAATACATCACAAAAGAAAAATAAGCAGCTGACACATTTTGATTAAATATGAAGCATACAAGAATACTGAAGGATACTGATTCCAAATAAACATATCCATAATTTAAAATTATATTGTATAGAATCACATTTGAATTCACTAATTTCCTGCCTCACAGCATATTAATATGTAATACATACCTTGGGGGTGGCAAAATCTCCTGATATATTGCTAATTTCTGCGGGACGTTAACTGAGGAATTTGAACGCTGAATTATGGCATTTAGTACGAAAATAAAACAGCAAAAAATATTTTCAAGGGTGTGTTTTTCTTTTTAGGCATAAATACTCAAATTTCAGTATTGTTTGAAAATTGCAATTTTGACTACATTTTCCAGAAAAGTGCACCCCTTTTCCAGGCCGTTTTCCTCTATTTTCTTGTATTTTTGCTTTTTCCTTCTTTCTTTCATGAAAATAAATGACAATACATGCAATTAAATGACAATTCTTTTACGAGTTTGTTGTTTTTTGGGATGAATACTTATGGTGACCTTTGAACAAGTACAGAATTCATAATAAAACAATTCCTTGGGCTCCTCCTTCAGCTGCTTGCCTTTCCTTCTTTTTCTGTTTGATTTAGCTTATTTTGCTTTTTGTTTTCTTCCCAACAGAAACTCTTCGATGGAGTTTGCCTTCTTTATCGTCTCAAATCTTTCCAGGACCACTGCATAGTATGTTTTCATTTGCATCAAGAATATCCTTCATGATATTTGAAAGCACATCTGGAAAACGTATGAGTTGAAAGTTGGCCATTTGCTGCTATTTTTTTCTTTTGTAATGAAGGCACTGATTGCCGAACTAATCTCGCTCTCATATGATAGAACCAATGCAGAGGGGTATTTCATTTTTTACTTCTCAAGCATGTGACCAGGACCCATATGATAGAACCAATGCAGAGGGGTATTTCATTTATTACTTCTCAAGCATGTGACCAGGACCCATTTTTGTTTATCACTTACATTTCCATCATCGTACGTTTGCTTCACATCATCTATATAACGATGAATATACCTTTTTCCATAAGTTTTTCCTTGAACAGGCCTTATTTCCCAAACTTTCTGAAAAGATTCATAACGTTTTTCAGGTTCAAGAACAAAATCACTACCTAAATAACCATCATTGATACATTGAATAAATTCATCAGATCCTCCATCCAGTAGAATTTCAGTTGGTTCAGGAAGACCCCCAATGTAGCTCCATTACGTTATGAAAGAATCATTTGAGAAAAAAGTTTAGTCAATTATATTTTTTCCCTGACTTAAATAGCCTTGTTGGGCTGAGAAAAAATTTTTACCATGGAGGTATGCATTACATGTTAAAATCCATTACTAGGGAATTCTGGCCCATCAAAAGCATTTAATAATTAGTCAAAAGCAAAGATACAAATAGGAATATTTCATTCACCCACCTGACAACTTGAAACTCACACATAAATGATTGAAATTTTAAGGTAACACATTGTAGCAAGGATTGAACAAATAAAACAGAGTAACAGACCATGTCCCAGTACTGAGATATGATTCAGATTAACACCTATAATTTGGTTTTTCTAATGTGATGATCCTTTAAAGTCAGGTAGTCAGAATTACTTTTTCAATAAATCTATTGAAACATAATTAGCAGTGTGGACATTATACACAAGCAGCAGTGCAAGTAACACTTAATGTTATTAAACACAACCAGCTAATGATAGCAAATGAAGGTGTTGTTGATATTCAACAAGTATGTTGAAGTCAAGGTAGAAGATACACATCTATGGAAAGATAATAAAACAAGTATTTTTTTTTTTATATTTCCTACATTTCCTTTCTCCACATTGCTTACCTTATAGGGTAAATAACGTATCACTCATGCCTTATACGTTATTCTATCAGTAAGTTTGACATGTCCAAAACCAAATTAAATCATAATTGTATAGTAATATTGAATTGTTGGTGAAATTTCAGATTTTTTTTAACAATAAAATATAGATCAGGAATTTAGCAACTAATGTGTAGAACAAAAACAGATGTAAGTACCACATGGAGTGATGAAACAAACACAAAATAAGCTGATGTCTTTTTTTATTACTAAATGTAGTGGGTTAAGTGTTTTTTCTTTAAAAGTACTAACATACAGTGATTCTACCATTAATCATTCTAATAAACTGATGTAAGAATTTTCTTTCTGTAAACTTCAGCTATAAACACAATAATGCTTTATTGTCTGTTTAAGTTACACAAATTTCTTTATTGATTAAACTCATGAGACCTCCATCAATGTTGCATAATGATAAATATTTCTGTGTGATGGTAATATTAAAATGAAGTAATATTCATTTCTTGGTTTTGGTTCTTAAAACACACAATTAATTTTAAATTATTCCATCATGTTTTACAAGTTTTGCAGCAATAAATCATTACTACAATATAAAAACGAAACTTTTATACAATACTTTATGCATCAAGAAAAATATAATTCACATTTCTGATGTAAAGTACTTAATGGTGTGTGTGCAATCTTCAATTATTCTGAAAATTGTTATTCCCTAGAATAAATCAAATGCTTTAATATTTTTTACAATTAATTTTTAAGTGGTTAAAACATACAATAAAATGTAATCTTTATGATCTATTCAATTTGAAGGTGTTTCCAACAACAGAAACAAAACTGAAATATTGGGGAACCAGTGAAAATTCCCTTCTCATTCATATTAATTAGGCATAGTTTTCTACCATATGCATGAAAACCTGTGATTGGTTAATGAGTGAGTGTGTTAATAAAGAATTGAGATTAGAGTAATATAGGTCATACTACTGTGACAGCAAATTCTGAATCCTATGGTGCCAAAAGTTAGACTAATTAAGAAAATATATAGGACTAATTAATAACTAATAATAAAATATCAGTTGATTATACCCAACCAATCATCAAATAGATTTTATAGCCAATTCACACCACAAGTTGATAATTTTATAAAGAACTTGTAACCTACTACATCCAATTTCATCTGATTTATCCTGGCAGTCAAATTCTCCATCGCACTCAAAACTTTTAGGGATGCACTGATCACCAGACAAGCACTGGTATTCATCGTAACGACAGGGGGATCCAGGCGGGTTTGGTACTACAATAAAAAGAGCAACATTTTACTTGAAATTTATAATGCTTACATATAAAAGCATATTAAACAGCCTTGTTGTAGTAGCAAATACTTTAAAACCATTATATTAAATATTATGTCTTTTTGATATATTGGGATATACACTGAGTGGTCACAAGTAAATAGACACCTAATTTTTTGTCATTTAACTGAGTTATGCTAACTAATTTGTGTTCACAGAGCACTATATAAATGAAAATGGTCTGCACATTAATTATTTTTTTGCTACAACATGCCTAAAACTTAAGGTTCTCTCAAATTGTCAGATTTTGTTAGAGGAAGGATAGTTGGTCAAGCAGATGGTGGAATAAGTCAATGGCAAATTTCGCAGAATTTGGGAATCCCACTTTCGACAGTCAACAGAATCATCGTGCAGTTCAGAAAACATGGCAAGAAAACAACTGAGCAGCGTTCGGGTCATCCTGGTCCATCAGAGAGGACAAAAAGAGCTGTCAAGAGGAGCATCGAAATGTATCCCAGGTTAACGACTGCAGAAGTGTCCAAAGTTGGTGTGATGAGCCCGAAATCTGTTCCACGGATTCTCCACAGATTGGGTTATCGTTGCAGAGCAGCTAGACGGAAGCCCTTATTAAGACCTGCCAACATAGTCAGACGAAAGAAGTGGGCAAGTCATATGATGACCAAGCCTCTGGACTTTTGGAAGACCGTATTGTTCTCAAACGAATCAAGATTCGCTCAATTTTCAGACAGTGGAAGGATATGGGTCTGGAGAATGCTTCAACAAGAGTTTTGGCTCAACAGATTGCAGCCAACTGTGAAGCATGGTGGTTTGGGGAGCTGTTTGGGTTGGTGGAAGATCGAGCTTAGTGGAGTGCGTTGGCAACATAAATTTTGCAAAATAAGTTGAAATATAGGAGGAAGGACTCTTGCCACTTTATTCCTCGAGTTTCATGGACAAAAACACAACGTTGTTCCAGGATGATGGAGCACCGTGTCACACTGCTAGAAAACACC